AAAGGGCATAGGGAAGGTTTAACATTTTTTTTTAGAATGGTAGGAAGCACAGAATGGAAAATTCATACTAGCTATTGGGGAGAATTTTTTGACCATAAGGCTTGTAATCAGGGGAATAAGTTACTGAGGGGATAGTAAAATTAAAAGCTCTAGTAAAATATTAAATGACTATTCATATGGAGCAGTTCATGTGGGCTTTAATGTGCAGGCAGGGAATTGGAATTGAATTCAGCCTTGAAAAATCTTGTGGACTCTTACAAGCGTAAAAAATTTAGTAGCTAATAAAAAGATTTTTATCCCCTTATGGAGATGCACAGCTTGCAATATTACAAATATCAAAATTATTTACTTAAAGCATCAATGATCAGAAATAGCCGATTATAAAGACTGGGATTAAATGAAAATTTAAATTCCTTTGCACATATGTAAATTCACATGGAATCATATGATTATCACTATTTGAGAATCATAAAAACCCTCCAAGACTGGAAATGAGTAAATTACTTTGTAATTTTTCAAATGGGGCAATATAGATTCATATAACTATAGCAGTTTTAAGAATCTACCAGTCGTTGATATCAGTCCTACTTAATATTCTAAACTATACTGAGAGGGCCTAGAAAAGACTGATAATTCCAAGGACCAATGTAGATTCAATAAGAAAAATAAAATCGCTTTTGTTTTCATATCCTATTTGGAGACTTATCTAAGCAGGAGACTTATCTTAACAGGAGCAAAGCTGTGAGAGTCACAGCAGTGAAAGAATCAAAGTGGTAATGGGAAAACATGACCAACATTCTTATAAGCAATTTAAATTGTCAATTATTATAAATATATTATGAAGCTTTTCTTCAATGCTGTGGTAAGTTTTCAATTCATTTCTACATAAGTCTTATTCTTATCACCAGTCCAAAACTGTCATCAGATGATTTGAAATACTAGTTTTAACATATACTGTCTTTTCATATATACATGTTTATCCTCTTAACTACTCTTTATTTTGAACTAACGTTTGTAAATTAAGGTATAACAAACATGAATGTAAGTGCTCCCCACATAAATACATAATTCAATGATTCTCATAAATTTCACCCACTATCATCACCATCACTAGTGCCCTAGGCATCTCTTTCATCAGTTTGCTGATTTGGATCCCTTAGCATTCTTTGTAATAAATCCGTAACTTAGTGAGTAAGCAAAACAGATTTGTGTGTGATCTTTCTTGCACATTAATTGAACCTGAGAAGAGTGTCCTAGAATATCTTGCATGCAAATTTTATGTCTATAAAAATTCAATACCTACAAAATAATTTTTAAGAGATTCTTATTGGAGTTGTATTGAATCTACAAATCAATTTGTGGAGAACAGATTTCTTTATAAACATTAAGATTTCTAATTGACATCTTATGTTTCTCTTTTTATTTATATTTTATTTAATTTCTCCAAATAATATTTAAAACTTTTCACTAATGGGTTCTTCTGAGTCTTTTGTTGAATTTATTCCTCTGTATGTGATGCTATTTAAAATGTAAACATTCTCAACTTACTATTTTTATCATTGAGAAATGTCTTCATTTTTCTCATTTATTGCTTCAGATGTGTTTCATATTACTGTAGCTAAACAAACTTAGTTTGGATTAAAGTATATTAGTTACATTCTTTGATTTTCAACTTTTTGATATTTGTATATTTGAAGTAGTTCTTTATAAACAGTAGGAGATATGATTTTACTTTTCATACTTGTTTCATTTATCACTCTAATGGTGGTTTAGAACACTGTACATGTTTTTGGGGTATAAGCACCAATATCCCTCCATTATAGTCCAGTGTACCCTCTTCCCTTTTTGCTATCCCACCCTCCCTGCTAGTGGTCAGATTTTTAGGGTTTGTTTTGATTTAGTTCTATCTGTTAACTTTGTTTTGCTTCTTTATATTGCACATGAGTATAATCTTTCTCTTTTGACTAATTTGACTCACTATCATCCCCTCTAGTTCCATTTATGTTGCAAATCATGAGAGTTCATCTTTTCATTTTTATAACTGAATGCTATTACACTGTGTGTGTGTGTGTGTGTGTGTATTCACATCTTTCTACTCCACTGATGTTATTGAGCATGTAGGTTGTTTCCATAGCCTGGCTGTTGTTAACAGTACTGTGATGAACATAGGAGTGTGTATACCTCTTTGAGTTAGTATTTTGCATTCTTTGGGTAGATATCTAGGTGTGGAATTGCTGGATCATATGGTAGTTCTTTTTTAATATTTTGAAAAACCTCCACACTGTTTTCCACCTGGACTGAACCAAACTATATTCCCTCCAACAGTGTATGAGGTTCCTTTTCCTCCACACTTTTTTCACCAGCACTGGTTTCTGCTTGTTTGTTTTTGTTTTTTGATATAGATCATGCTTGCAGGTGTGATGTGGTTTTTAGATCATTCTTACAAATCTCATTATGGCTTTGCCTTGCATTTTCCTGATGATTAGTGTTATGAACATATTTTTTTCATGTGCCTACTGGCCGTCAGTATGACTTATTTGAAAAAATGTCTCTTCTGCACATTTTTTAAATTGGTTTATTTTCTTGTTGTTGAGTTGTATGAGTTCTTTGTAGATTTTGGATATTTGCTCCTTGTCAAATGTATGATATGAAAATGTATTTCCCCATTCAGTGGGGGTCTTTTTATTTTAATTATAGTTTCTCTGCTGTTCATAAACCTCTTAGTTTGATGTAGTCCTGTTTATTTTTGCGTTGGTTTACCATGCCTTTAGAGTTGAATACCCAAGGATATCATTGAAGTCAATGTCTTAGAATGGTTTGCCTAGGTTTTCTGCATTTGATTTTATTGTTTAGATCTTATGGCCAAAACTTTAACCCATTTTGAATTAATTTTATGATATAAGGTAATGTTCTAAATTCATTATTTTGCATGTTATTGTCCAGTTGTCTGAAAACAAATCATTGAAGAGACTTTCCTTTTACCACTGTGTACTCCTTTGTCATAAATTAACTGTCAATATAAGTGTGTATTTATTCCAGGTTCTCAATTCTACTTTATTGTTTTGTTTCCTTGTATCCCGCATTTATATTGTGTGGGTCTGCTACTCCTAGGCAGCCTATTTGGCCGCCATTTTGTCACCTAAACGAGGTCAAAGTGGTCCAGCCACTTAGGAACAGGAGCCCAAACCCTTAAGCCCTTCAGATCAAACAAGAGCACAAAGCTGGATCACACTGGGAAGGTTATGCATCACAAGGTATGTCCAGAAAGCCCAGGGGGCTGAGGACCAATGCATAACATATACTCCCGATTTATACATCATGATGTATGACTGGGAATGCCCAGGGGGCCAAGGACTGATGTATGACAAGGGACCCCAGAAGCTGATCAGTGGAGAGCCTTGTTGATAAGATTAGAAACATGGCTGGGGATTAGGGTGTAGCATCAAGTAGATTAGAAGTGCCTGGAGGGCAGACTCACAATCCCTAATCTTCTACACCCTTCCCCTTTCCTTAATCTCCCTAATCTCCTAAAAACCAATTACATGTGTCAATAAAAGGGCCAGGATCTTGCTCTTCAGCAGCATCCTGCATTGTGCAGCCTGCTCCATGACTCCCATTTGTCAGTGTGGTGGTGTCCCGATGCAACAATATTGTATTTCTTTCCTTGTATCCCACATTATATCATTTGTTATTTGTCTTTCTCTTTCTGATGGTGTTTCAACAAGTATAATCCCAACTAGTTCCTTCCATGTTGTTGCAAATAGCAAGAGTCCATTTCTTTTTATATAGCTGCATAGTATTCCCCTGAGTGTATATACCACATTCTATTAATCCACTCACCTGTCGTTGGGCACTTAGTTTGTTTTCATAGGTTGGCTATTGTAAATAGTGCTGCAATGAACATAGGGGTGCATGGCCTTCCATAATACATTTAATTTGTTGACTGGGGCTAGTTTTGCTTGTGACCCTGAGTGACAGCCAGATTTCTCTGCCACTTTATGAGCTATAAAATTACACAGTAACTTTAAGTTTTGGAATTCCCTAATTTCAGTGTTCTCTCCATGTTGTATATGGACTCTAAATGTAAAATAAAATTTAGACTTTCTTTTCTCTGACCTTGGACCTGTTGCAAAAGTGAACTTGCTCTTGGGGGAAAATGTTAGGCATTTTGTTTAAACTCACTAATTCACATGTCCTAGCCCATCCGAATCAAGATTTCTGACTTCTTTTTGGAGAAAACTGGAAGGGTAACGGGATTAAAAGAGTTGGAAAACAGCTGTGTGACTGGTATAGTTGTGGCATCTACTTTCAGCACTTTTTGGATTAGGTATATCCCATAGGCACATTCTTTATCTTATGAGAATTCTCACATCCTTTGCCTTTTTGATGGTGATAAAATCATGTTTACTTCTTGCTTACTCAGTCCTCATTCCCTGGGAATTTGGGGATACTTTTAATACCTCTCTGCTGACACTTGTTACCCTGTGAGTACCCAGCAGATAAGCTATGACCCACCACCAGCTTCCTCTCTGCTATCAATATAGGCCATGCCTGGCCCTTAAAAAGCACTCGTGTAGCATCTGTTTCAACAAATTCTTGGAGTGTACCTACTTATAAATCATAGTCTTCTAGCTGTACCTCAACCTCCTAATTAATAGTTCATTGGTCTGCAAGACAGTAGGAGATATATATTAAACTCTCTACCCGGGTTGTAAGGCAATACTTTGCACCCACTAGGGGTCAGTGGAGACCAGAGTACCACCCTCTCCAAAAAAGAGCATCTTGAATAATTCTTTTACAACTCCACTTTTGACCCTTTATAAAACTATGATGGAGGAAAGCAGTCTCTAAAAAATGTGTGACTTTTCACACATTTGTCCTTAAAAGTCTTACAGGAAACTCTACATTAATAAATGCCTGGTATCTAGATATCTGTTGTAATAAGATCATAGCCAAAACTTTAATTTTAATTGTCTGTTATATAACTGAAAAATACTTACTATTGGTTAAATCCAAAGAAGATGTTGAGTCAGTACCTATTAGGAAATAACAGATCACTTAATATTTCTCTACATAAGTAATTTTCAAATGCAGATTTGTAGCATATAGATAGTAGTTTTTTTTTTTTATTTCCCTGTACCCTAGAACAGCAGATTTTCCATTTTCCTAATAGTGCCCTGTTTGGTGGCCCCAAAGACTTTTCAAACTCATTCTGTTCAAAGGATGATCACATTCAATCTATTTTACCCCCAACAAATGTGTTTCTTTTTCTGGAACCTCTATTTTGGTTCACTTCACCACCAACTACTCTGTTTCCCAAGCTAGAAAATTCAGTGTGATGGTTTTAAATCTTAAGAACAGAGATGGGAGCCATGGAATAAATCTCATAATCTTCTAAAATGTGGCCTTACATATGCATTGGTGGCAATTGCTTTTTAATGTCAATCCTAGAACCGTACTGTTGCATTGTCTAGTTTCTGGTTGCCAGGTTACCTGTTGTTACATGATAATCAACATTGCTTTTTTACAGACCTAACTCATCTACCAGTAGGGGGCAAAATGGTCTCCTTTATACATGATACTGAAATTGTTTATCTCAACATTTCTTCCAAATGTATGACATGCAAATATATGTGTATACAGTGTGCTGGAGCAAACTACCTCGAAAAAATTCTACCCAGCTACATACATATATTCCATTCTATGGAGGATGAAGCAGGAGAATAACATTATTTTCATTTTTATGAAGCCATGTGTAGGTTCAGTGGACTAATAAATGAAATTTGAATTATTCATCAACCTGTATGTCATTCAGATCTTTAAAATCAATGCTGATGGAGTAGTAGAACTGCTTCAATTTTCACCACGCCAATATAATTGTCTCCTTCCTTCTTTCTCCTTCACTCTTAACCATTTACTTTTATTTGGGATTTTGGAATCTGGATAAATTTCCATACATTGCCCCTAACAGTCATAACATACATTAATAATTTATGAGCCTGAAGTGTGGAAGACAGTTGTGAAGGAGTATTTCACACAGTATAATCTCACAGAACTACCCTCAGATTTCTGATTCACATTACTTAACTTAGGCAAAGACTAACTTACAAATTTTCTCTATTAGCAAAGATTATATGAATCTTTTGGTTTATTTGGCATGGATGAGTAAGCCTTTGTGTAAACTTTTAACAGATTATTTGCCTTCTATTTCTTGTTTTTCATATGAATCTGAGGGAAAAATGGAATTCACTCTAAAGGTGATCTATTGTTTAATTTTTATTCATTTCCACTGACTTTCGCCTCTGCCTTCACCCCATACATAAATTTCTCTTTGTGTTTTCCTTTGGACTTTTTGAAATTGCCCATAATAAATGCTCAGTATTTGCTAAGCACTTCTCTCTCCTTTGTTGCATTAAAACATGCCAAATTAAAGTTAATATTCATGGTGTTCGAAAGATTAATTTCTGAGCTACTGAAATCTTACTTTCCATGTTAACTCATTTTTTTGAAAGCTTACTTCAGAAACAGCTACAAAGAGAAACTTCCAATTTAATGAATTATTAAGTCCATAAGCAGACGAGGGGAAATCCCTCATTGCTCAGGCACTCACTAACTATAAGCTGTGAATTTGTTAGGGGGAAATGATGTCCTGAGATAATCCCATACAGGCTTTGTGGACCCCACCCCCACTCCAGACTAAAGCCATCAAGACTCTGGGAAAGACAAATCCCATCACCACCAAGGAAGGGTGGCTGGGACCTGAGGGTGGAGTTGGGCAGCCAGGTTGGATATAAAAAACCAAACACGTGGGCCTTGGGCTCTCTCTCTCTGGCTCGCGATCGCTCACCTCCTGGCTTCACCGCTCCTGGCTGGCGGCGAACTCTGAGAGCGCCATTTTGGGATTCCTGATCGGCGGATTGGGTAGGACTCATTTAAAACTTTGTCTCCCACTTTTCTCCCAGAGCTGTACATTTCCTCATTTCCCCTTCCCTTGTAAATAAACCTTTTATTAACCTTTCACGTGTGCCTGCAGTTGAGCATTGATAAGCCCTTTAAAGCGCGCGGGTGAGGACCCACAGTCAGGCACCCCGTTTTGTATCGGGGTTGCTCTACAACAAATTTAGAGTAGCAAAATGCTAGATATTAATAATAAACAACATTTAGTGAGTATATATTATGTGCTAGTAGTGTTTCAAATATTTTACAACTCCTGTGCTTAATTTTTACAAGAACCAATGAGATAGACCTATGACAACAATACCTTTCTTACATATGAGAAGACTAAAGCACAGAGAGGTTAAGTATGATGCACAGGTTCATATAGTTTCTAAATAGAAGAGTCAGATTTTAACCCAGTCTCTGTGACCATAGATATTTCACTAAAAGCTGTTGCATCTTAATACCTGTACCAGGCCATGCCCTGTGAATCATATAATGACACAGAATCATTTACTTTCCAATTAAATAATGTTAATGTTTTGGGTATTCTTCAGCATATAAATTGGAATGATTTCCATTATGAGGTATCCTCTGTGTCTGAGGGTAACATGACCATGAATGACACGCTTGTGCAATCTGCAAATATTCAAGATCTACATTCATTGTGGGTGGAACCTAGTAATTTATATTTTTCAAAAGTTCTTGGGGCAATTCTGATACAATTAGCATTCAGATAAGCTTTTGAGGCAACTACTATAAATCAGACCTTTAAAAGAATATGCATATATTTACACAATAACATAGTATCTTGGCAAAGCACCAAATGGCACAGATGGGTATAGGTGGTAATTAGTTCAACTAGAGCTACCCTATAAAACATTTCATCGCAATGTTGATTCCAGAGCAATGTGTCTTGTCCCTGAAGGATCGAAGGGTTGACTGCCGATTTTCTAGTGCCTCAGCTCAGTTACTAGGATGGCTTTCTGTTCACAATGGACACTCAATAAATGATATAATGATAATAATAAACACAGATTTAGCACTTACCACATGCAAGCCAGGTGGTGTCTAAGTGCTTTATAAGCCATAATTGTCTTAATCCTGTCATTATTCCTATGAGTTAAATTCCTTTTCATACCCATTTTTTCTCATCAGAGATGTTTAAGAGCAAGTACTAAGTGGCAGAATGGGGATAAGATTGTCTATAAGCTCAAAGAAAATGTCTCACGTGATACCTTGAAGCAAATCACTATCTCATCTTTCCTCTGCCAATCCAAAGATGAAGATAGGGATTTTATATGATTACAGTTTCAAGACATGTCCTCCCTGATATGCTTCAGTCCATCTCCTTGTCTCTCCCTTTGTCACTTTGTCTCAATATTCCTCTCTGTCTTCTCCCTTTCTCCCCTGCTTCATTTCTATCCCTTTCTCTCTATATTTCCTTTTGTCTTCCTTCTTTCTTTCTTCTTCACAGTGTTCCTTTGTTATGTTTAAAATTATTTATCAATTCATACATTAAGTAACATAGAAAGGCAAAATAATTCTTATCCAAACACTTCAATAAATATAGTCGGTAAATATTATTTAACATAAATGACTGAAGCTAATATTATCATAAACTTTTAAATCAGTTTTTTGAGACAAATATCCATTTATCTGGGCAGAATCCTCAGTTTTGCTCAATGAATAAGTCCTGTGAATTTCTCTACTTGGCTATCTGTGTCCCTCCTAGGAATATTCAAGATTTGAAAGTATTAGGATTTGGTAAATATTTCAATTTGCCTGAAGGCTGTTTAAGGCCATCACTTCTTATATTTTTAATATGATAAAGTAAACAGTGACTAGCATGTAACATTTTGCACTGATTCAGAGAAAAAGATGAAAATATTCTCTTGAGATCTCTAATCACCTGAGATTTCTAAAGGAATCTAGGAATACAATCCTGGAGCAATTTTGGTTGAACTCCACATTATGATCATTCAAAGTATCTAACTTCAAATTCCTGCAAGACAGGACAGTGACTCTGTAACCTTCATGTTTAGGAGATCAGCTGAAATACCCTGGATAGCCAATGAGAGATGTTTCCACCAGAATAAAGGAATGAATTTAGCCAGTTTCCCTAGCAAGGATGTAGGAGCGTTCTCCACATTTCTGTAAGTGCCTTAATTTAAATCCTCGTCATTTCTCATGTAGGCAGTTTTTCTTAAACTCCAGTAATCTGTGTCCTCATTTAAGAAAAGAAAATAAAGCAAACACAAATGTTTATTTGAAATTATTTCTGTAATCACATTATATGCTAGGCATAAACTCCGTGTGCTTATAATTTCTAATTAAACCTAAAATCAAAACAAAATTAGAAATTAAATAGAAAGTAGCAATATAATAGTGTCTGAAAATTTCATGTCACAAATCTATTTTTCCCTGCTGAAAATGCCTGCCAAAGTTTGATTTGCCACAAAAAATGTATGATCAAGTACCATGTTTTATTTATTATCCATTTAATTTCTCTGATTCTAAATGTAACAAGTCATGATTTATCTAATAGTCAGCATCATCATAATTATTTTAGGTACTTCTCTTTTTTAATAATGGTATTTTGAACACTAAATTATTTTGATGAGTCTACCAATTTAATGGTGTATCATAGAATTCATTATTATCAAAAGGCAATGAAAAGTTCTTTTATTGTACATTTACTGATAATCTTCTAATTGGTACCTGTGATGATGGGAATTGCACGATTGATGCCACAGCACTGATTCTTTTGAGTTTATTATACTTGCGCTGCTGTCTGTTCCATGATCAATTTTCTCATCACATTGTCTCATTTGAAAACTTGTCACTTAAAAATCTGCCTTCATTCTTTTATTATTTGCCCTTGATAATTAAAATCATACATAGTTTATCTCTACTGCATCTTTCTCATGCTATCAAATTGGTTTTGTTTTATTAAATAATTGAAGTAAGTAAAGCTTTATTCCATGAAAAATGTTTTTCAATTGCAATTTAATATGGCAAAAGAGAATTTATTAACAGATAATAATTGGTAAAAGAACATGGATATAGGTTTGCTCTTGAGAAAATTCTTATTATTTCCACTTCCAAAGTATAAATGCAACAAAAGGATTCTAGGGCAATAATTGGTTATAAGATTATTCTTTATGTATACAAAAAACAAAAAAAAATTAGATTTCTTGGCTGTTTAAGAATTTATCCACATTTAAAGTCTTGCTGGTTGGGCAACATTGGCCCCTTGTCTTCCTATTTGCAGCTTTAATCCCATTATATCCACTTTTCGATTTAAGACTCAAATAATTTTTCTAACGCAAATCTGATTTATCCATGGCCCTGTTTAAGATCCTTCAGTAAATCCATCTTGCCCAAAGCCTAAATTCCAAATTCTTTGCATGACTCACAAGACCATGGTTTGATCCCCCTCTATTTTAAAATTTCATTTCCATTAGTTCTCTTTTGAGGAATCTTCAACCTGGCTTCTTAAATGCAC